CTTATTGTGCTTAATTTAAAATTTAACTATATCACAGGTATGCAGGTATAGAAAAACAGAAGGCTTAGAGCCATTCAGTTTCAGGAATCCACTGAGGGTCTTAGAACATATCCCCTGAAATAAGGGAAGACTATTATAAATTACACACACAGGGAATTGAGACCAATGAGATTTTCTTGCAGGGGGAGTAAGTCAAGTATCATTAATATATTACCTAAAATTTATATTTATAAAAACTACTACAGTTGGGGCCTGCAGGTGGTATGGTTATTCATGTGCCTGGATCCCACACGGCCTGTAGCAGTTAGAGTGCTGGATCCTGTGGCTTGAAGATCATAGAGAGCACATGTGTGTGCATGTCCAAAATTCTAAGAGGAGAATGGAGGACAAGGGATTGAGAGGCATGACCATTCCCCCTCCCACCCTATCCCAGATGATTTCTCACTTTCCCTTTCTGTGTCTTTCTCTGTTAAGTGCGGGTAAACTATGGAGGGGGGGGGATAATTGGAAAAAAAAATTACTACTGTCGATATATTTCTCCATCATTGAGTGTTCATTTTTATGCCCTCCTTATTTAGGGATTTGAGAGTTACAGTACATAGAAAGTTGTTTGCGAATTCTTCATTTCCCAACTCCGCTTTCCCCCATTCCCCAGCTCCAGATCAACCATCTGAACACCAGGATGGAGGGAGCATTTCTGACTATTCTCTCTAGCAAGCAAGATTTTTATATCGTAAGCAGGATCAGCTTCCTAGAATCCAGTTGGCAGAAGAGTAAGATAACATTTGAACTCTAGGTCTTTACTCTGAACCGACCTTTCTACAAGCTATTAACCGTGGGGAAAGGATATTTTTAGAAGTGAGCAGCAAGTGGAGAGAAGGTTTCGCTCCGCTTGGCCTTGGCCTCTGCCATGTTGGCTAGTGCGACTCCTCCTCCTGGGCGGTGCTCTCCAGCGCGATGCGTAATTTCCCATTTCCGGAGCTCAAAATTGTGTGGCTTCATTATGGAGAGCGTTCCTGCTAAGGAGAATGGGCCAATGGGAAGCTTCTTTGAAATAAAGTTCTTGAACAAGATTTAGGAACCTGCCTTTAGATCTTTAGGGCAGCCTCTGGTCTTGGTCCAAATTCAGATGTCTACGGATCAAATGCCCTTTTCTGTCAGCTAAATACCTGGCATCTTGTATGTTAAGTAAACGCTCAAAAACATGACTGTAGACCTATGTGGAAAAGAACAAAGCTCCTCGTCCCTGGAGCACACGCATACATATATAAGCGGGCCTGTGCTGCTTGCCAGAGAGACAGAGGCACAAAGAAACCCCTAATAGGACCTGGCTAAATCTCTCTCTAAAAAAGTGGTCTTCTGGACCACTTTATAATATAATAAGGAAATTAAACAAGTGCCAAATCACTATAAAGTTATAAATAGCATAAACCTCTTTATCTCATAGCAAACAGAATTACTATTGATTCCACTGGAAGTTGATCTGATGGTATAAAAATGAACAATAATATAAAAATGAACCAATGCTGGTTAAGGCGCTGGACTCCCCTATGACAGACTGTGGTTTGAATCCCATACCTGGCAGCTGGAAACGTGCCAGGCATGTGTGCATGCATGCACAACATCCTAAGAGGAGAAGGGACTGCAGCATGGCCAATCCCCCTGGAGGGTGATTTGTCATTTTTCCTCTCTATGTCTCTCTCTGTCTCTCTCCAGTGAGCACATGTGCCCTACAGCAAAAACCTAAAACAATAATAATAATAATTAATACTAGGTTTTGTAGGCAAGGGAAGTGGACAGTGAAGAGTGGATGGGAGGCGCTCAGGGAAAAAACACCAAATGAACAGTAATATAAAGTTCCCTGTTGAAAATGATGCGTATGGCACTATCCTTGTTTGATTGGTGCGGACTGGGTGCAGACGTTGGAAAGCTGTATTATACGCGATAGAGGTGTACAGTGATTGAATGCAAATAAGAAATCATAACAAAGAAGATATGAAAAAAAGACAAGTTACCTGCTTATGAATCATATAAACCTTTTCTCCCAGAATGCCTGGGTGATGAACTGCCCAAAAGAATAAAGAAGTTCCAGAGACAAATCCATACAAATGGTATTTTATATGCCTCTAGATTTCACTGTGAAATAATGTTTTTACTCTGAGTTAATTCGCTATGTTTCCCTTCATATATAAAACACACATACATCCTCTTACCACCAAACTGAGAACACACAAGTATATACATCTTTGCCATCTCATGTATTTTTTAATACTTTCAAATAATTTGTCTTATTCTTGGGTTCAAGTCCTGGACTTGGAGGCTTAAAAACTCATGCCAGGCATTGTGTGTGTGCGTGTCCAGAATCTCAACAGAAAAATGGAGGAGAAGGGACTGTGGTGTGGCCATCCCCCCTGAGGGGTGATTTCTTGCTTTCTGTCTCTCTGTCACTCTGGCAAGCACATGAGCCCTATAGCAAAAACCTCTTAAAAAAATGATTTGTCTTATTCTTATAGTTCTACATTTTCCTACTGTAATGTCACCAATGTAAAAGATATACCTCTACTTTGGAATTTTTAAAAATAATTTTGTATTTTGAGGCCATTAGGCAGATTGATGGTTAAGACACTGGACTCCCACCTGGGTGACCATGGTTCGAGTCCCAGACCTGGTGGCTTGCTTTCTCATGTTCTCTCTCTCTGCTTCTCTCTGATCAAGTTTAAAAGAAAATAGTGATAAATAAAATTAAGTAATTATTGAAAAAGAAGAATAGTTTCTCTAAAAAGTAAATGTAAATAATTTTGTATTTCTAAGTCACAAAGCTATAGCAACAGTTAACTTTTGCAGAGCTGATGTCTATGTTTTGCATTGAATCGTTCAATGCTGCATAGTTATTATTCTGAACAAGTGATCTAACTACTTCTTCTTGGGTTTTGTTATATCTTGGGAAAATGGACCATTTTAAGTGTTACTTTTGAGCAGATTCAAGTTAGAAAAAACAGAGCTCAGCGAAACAGATTTTGACATTGGCTTTGAAAATTACTATGCTTCCTCACCTTTAAAAAGAATTTCCTCCCGCATGTATTCTTATAAATAATCTAGTTATGTTCTCAGAGAGTAAAATCACATTTTTAAAAATGTTTTCCAAAGAGCGCATGGGTTCACCAGAGAGCTACAGCGAGAGAGAGAGGGAAGCCATGAAAGTACCCCACCATGGGGCATGGTCAGGTGCAATCGCTTCTCCTCCATTTCTCCATTCTTTTGGGATTTGGGGCAGTATACACATGTACCCAGCATGTTTTTCAAACTGCCAGGTTCAAGACTTAAACTTCAGAATCAGTGGTCACGTGAGATCCAGCTACCTTAACCACCAGGCCACAGGCAGACCAAAAATTACTTTTATAACTTAATTTTTTTAAATTGCTGTGAGGTGCTTGTGTTCCCCAGAGTGAGATGAGGGGAGGCAGGGAATGAGAAAGCACCTGCAGGGGCACGACCACATTGTAATCTCTTCCATTCTCCTCTCAGGATTTTGGGCACACACACACACACACACACACACACACGCACACACACATCTGATGTGTTTTGCAAGCCATCGGGTCCAAGATTTGAACCATGCAGTGAGCCATGTAGAATCCAGCCACCTTAGCCACCACACTACTGGCTGGCCTCCCAAATCACTTTTTAAGCATCTATTTCAGAAACTGGCCATATGATGTATGTTTAAAAAAATCATTAATTAGTCAAATAAAGTTTCTTTTGCATGTGAATAATCATCCTCTTTCCAAATACATATCTTTTCTTTAAGTTGAATTTTTCCCTTCTGAGGTTTCATAAATCATGTCTCGTTAACATTATTTGTTCACTTCGTAAGGTACTTTAGGTTGTCCTTTCTTGGTTCATCAGAAATGACCGATTTCCAAATCCTTCTGTCCAGGGAACCAATTCTATTTTTCAGATTTCTAGTTTAACATCTCCTTCTTCAATCACACACTCATTTGTGCTGTCCTAAATGTTTGGTGTTTGTCAGAAGCAATAGACTTGTGCACACTCTCTTGCTTTCACTCTCTCTCTCTCTCACCTATGAGTCATTACAATTTCAATAGACTCACAATAGAGAGTTCAGACCTGTCGCCCACACCTTACAGTAAGCGAGAGGAACCAGAAGACAGCTTTCCCCTCTTGTAAATGTCAAGTGTTCAACCTGTCTCCATTGGGAGATGAATAGAAACACAGGCTTAAAGAAGCAAGCCCTTGGATAGGCGCAAAACTTTGAGCATTGGGACTCCAAAGTTGACTTTGTTACATGGGTATACGATTGGTAGTGTTAGCTTCCTCCATGAAATGGAGCTTAACTCTGCTACACCAGCTTGGTGTCTGATTTATTCTGATTGGGCCAGAGAGCCCACAAGGCAAATTGCAGGATGGCTTGAGATTTGTCTTGAGGGCAGCCACGGCTAGCTGTGTAGATGAAGGAGGCGTGTCGGATGATCTTCTTTTCCAAGGCTTCTCAAATACAAATTCTGTTTTCTTAATAACATAAGAATGCTGCACATCTGACCTCACTTATTAGCAAGGCTGCTTGGTCAACAAAGGGTGTAGGTTTGTGAGAAAACCATAAAAGGGCTCAGATTTGACGGCCATTATGTCCTTGGTGAACAGAGTGTAAAGCGTTCTGTCTCCAAGTCCTAACTGGGGTTTGATAGGGAGGATATCAAACCAGAATAACCTTAGGTGCCTAAGCTGGGTTTCTTTTTGTTGCTGAGATTATTTTGTTCCATTCAGAGAAGAATGCATTTAGACAGATTGACATGATTTAGGCTGGAGGTATGACCTAGCAATCAGAGGCAGGAAGAGGAAAAAAGGCCAGGGAACTGAGGAAGGGGTGATGTCAAGCATGCCCTCTGCAGTTCACTCCAGAAAACAGCTGGCAATTATAATTACCCACCTTGTTTTGCAGCTCTGAATAAACGTGGCATTGCACCAACCCCTACCGGAGCAGCGTTTGAGATTAGAAAGGACTCCACACCTTGGAAAGCCGAGGAGACATGAGAATCATTTTAAATGCAAATTAAATTGAGGGGGTAGCAGAGAAGAACACATAAAAGACAGTAAAACAAAACCTTTCAATTTTCTTAAATTAGCAGTCTAAGTGTTCTAAAGAGCAGCTCCACTCAGATCTCTTCTTAGGGGCTGCATTTCATCACAGTATAAAATGGGCAAATCCATCACTTTGCTCCACTCAGTGCTCTTGAATCGAGATGGAAGGGAAAATTAGAAGCTATACAATTGGACTTGCAGGCTCAGAAGCGTTCCACATCTTCATCTGATGCCGTGGGTGTCCTGTTGAAAGGGGTCAACGAGTGCTGGTGAGTATCTGCAAACTTGAAGACTCTTCCTTGATATTGGTTTTTTTTGTTTGTTTTTTTTTTGGCTACCCTTTCTTTACCAAGGTGGTGGGGGGCTTCTAAGAGATTTGTGCTTTACAATGCATCTTTCAAAAATCTGGAAAATTTCAGACAGCTTTGAATGCTTCTTCCAGTGACTGATTTGCAGAAGGAGAGTTATTTTCAGCTGAGGTGCCGGTGACTGTTCCGTATATTAATTATATCATGGGAATGGCTAACATCTGCTAGCTGAAATGGCCTTTCTCTCTGTTCCCCCCTTCCCTGCCACCTTTAGACCAATGTTAGGGTTAAGAACTGGTGTCCCTCAAGAATTTCTAGACAACTTTCTCATTGTATTAATTGCCCTGTCATTGAACATTCCCTTTTATTGTCATTGCAAATCCAACTGAGACTCGAGATTATAAACATAAATGATTAAACCATAAATCCATTTTTTAATGACTATGACGATTCTCTGCATCAGAGATGAAGGGGGCGGGAAACAGCCACACATGAAGATGTGGATGGTTTTCTGCCAAAGTTTTACATGGGAAACTGGTAATTTTCTTCCTTCACAGGGGAGGGTGCAGAGAGGCTGAGGCTGGCGTCACCTTCTGTTGCTAAGGTAACGAGCTCTGGCCATTTTATCTGATAAAGAAAGTCCAGTAGATGGTATTCATTATTCATCACTGTTGTAATCAAACAATCAAAACTGTTTACTTTAACCGGGACTGTTGAGCGAGATCAAAGAAACTGGCTGGACCTGCTCTGTTTTCCTGCCGACAGTCACGCTTAATTTTCTTGCAGTAAGTATGTATAATTTGCTGTAGGGGTACCTTCGGGTATTTTTGAAAGTTTCCTTTTGCCAGACTTGATTGCTTAAAATAAAATGTGTGTATTCAGAAAGAGGAACCAATTGGATTAGCCTTCTGAGCTCAATTTTAATGACTTTGTCTTGTTAATTCTCTCCCCCCCCAAATCCTGTGAAAATCGAGGTAGATACTTTATTATTAGCTAGTCTTAGGGAAAGGTTACAGAGGCTTGAAAAAAAGACCCCAACAGGGTGCATGTTTTTTGATGAAATGAACAGCCTCCTGACAGGCTAGTGTATGGTAATGTTACAGGGCTTGTTGCAAAACTGCAATAATTGTCGCTGCTCTTCAGATCATAGTTTTTTCTCCAGCAGAGCTTGTGTCAGGGACAGGCAGGTGATGATCCTATAGCACTTTGTAAAATGTGCTGGAGGGACTCACTGAGAAGGATAGAATTCAAGGCACTGCTAGTGCAAACATGTCAGCGTGTGTCATAAATGCAAAACATCTGACATCTCGGATTCCCAGGCGAGACCCCCGCTCAAGGGAGATCTGAGAGTCCCTGGATCAACTGAGGAGCAACGCGCAGAAGGGCTGACACTTCATGATGCCATTTATCAGACAGACCTTTTGACAACTAATCGCATGCAAATTTAACTGTATATTTTCCAGTTAACAGACAGCAAAGAAAGACGGGTGTGTTAACTCTTGAGACTTGAATCATCTGGGTTTTTTTCTGAGTAGGAATATATCTCTTTTAATGAATATTGGTTAAATGTTGCATTTTTTTATATATTCTAAAAGCTATGTTTCGGGATGGTTTTAGAAATGGAAATGACAAATAGTGAAATATTATAATAAGATATTCTTATTCAAAAAATATTAAACACGTAGACATAAAGACATAAAGATTTGACAGTCTAAAATATGGTGGATTCCTTTTCTCTTACAGGCATCCAAGGGAACATTTTCTCTTGAAACTCTGTGTTCGAAACATCAAAGATGGATTATCCCAAAATGGATTATTTTTTGGACGTCGAGTCTGCTCACAGACTCTTGGATGTTGAGTCGGCTCAAAGATTCTTCTACAGCCAAGGAGCTCAAGGTAACACAATAGAAGAAAGGAGAGGAAATTCCTCTCATTTGCATGGTGGTTTTATATTCAGGGTGCAGTGTAAGCTCTAATAGTTTAAGCTCAACTCCCAAAAGTTCAACAATTGGTATTTCTAAACGGATAACATTGACCAAATGATTGCTGGGGCTGACATGTAACAGAATACGAGACTCCACACTTCTTGGATTTGGTACCTCAAAAACCCTATGTACCCCAACTTTTGGTATAAATGCCCCTCCAAAAGCAATATTAGACAACAGTTTCCACAACTTCTTGAGTCCAAAAGCAAAGTCTGAAAGGAATCAGGAAAGCATTCTCCCCCAGAAAATTTTAAGTTTGCAGTTACCACGCTGGGAGAGATCTTAGGGAACTCTGCATGGAATCCAATGGGATTAGAGGGTCCTGAGATAAATGTGGGGCTTCTAAAGCTATTAATGTTTTAGATGAATTCAGTTACTGCTTTAGAGGCCATCCAGGAGTAGCGAGAACAGACCTGCTGTGAAATGTGGCCATTTTTATGACATATATTAAGATGGCCACTTAGGTTGCATTGCGCTTGTTTCTGTTGGTGCATTTTAAATGTTTTGCTATAGGTTCGGGTTTAGAGTGAAGCTAGAATGTTTTATGGGATCTCCTGAAAGGCATGGGATTGTTTTGTTCTGTTATCTATTTTCTACCTTCCATAGACTATTCACAGTATTCGGCCCAAGCAACCTGGTGATGGGCATCTCCCTAATAGGACGAGTGGTGCCCTGAGAGGGAGGATGATAAGCTATTTTCAAATAGGAAAGCAGCTGGGATTCTTGAAAGTCACAGAATAGGGCTGAGAGGAAAAACGCGGTTGCTATAGTCCTGGATTCTTTTACATGAGGTGGTGATGGGGTCTTCACATAGGACACTGATAATATGAGGGGATGTCAAAAAACTTATGGAAAATTTGAAGTAAAGTATGAGTTTGTTTTGGTGCAAAAACAACTTGAGGGCCAGCCTGTGGCCTGGGGGTTATGTATGCTGGATCCCACAGGGCCAAGACCGGTTCAAATCTTGGCTCCGGTGGCTTGGAAAACACAACAGGTGTGTGTGTGTGTGTGTGTGTGTGTGTGTGTGTCCAAAATTCCAAAGGGATGGAGAGATGGAGGAGAAGGGAGTGTGGCATGACCATTCCCCCATTGGGGGTGCTTTCTTACTTCTTTCTCTCTCTCTCCAACTAGCACATGAGCCTTCTTCCGAATAAAAAATGAAAAAATAAAAATAAAGCCATGCATAGCATTTTCATAATATGCATTTTCCCTGAACTTTTGGAAGACTCCTCATAATCTGCCTTTGCTTTCCCGTGTGGCCTTTGACTCACTTTCACCTCACTTAAGCCAGGGTCTGTGATAACCTCAAGGGGCAAGCCTCCTCCTTCTCTGCTCCCATTTTCTAGGGCATCACCCCATCTTGTTAAACTCAAGGGGTAGGTGCCAGCAGGTGGCATGGTGTTTAAGGTGCTGAATGCCCACATGGCCCACCACAGTCCTGGACCCGGCAGCTTGAAAATTACACTAGACATATGTACATGCATGCCCCAAATCCCAGGAGAATGGAGAAAAAGGGATTGTGGCACGGCCATCACCCCCAGGTGGTGATTTCTCATTTTCTCTCTGACTCTCTCTGGTGAACGCATGTACCCTATGGCAAAAACCTTAAAAAAATAAAAAGGCAAGGGGGATTGGGAATTATCTCGTTGATTGGTTTGGGTCACTGTGCTCATCAGTGGAGCTGAAATTAGCTGAAGTGCTGCAGTAGCTTCTTTTCATTCGCATCAGGGAGCCAGCACTGCTCCTTTCAGACACAGAAAAACATAAAAATGTTACTAACGAAGGAGACAGTGGGACCAGCTGGTGGGACATTAGTGAGCAGCAATAGAACAGGACACTCTGGGATGCTGACCCACATGGAAAGGATCTGGTTTTGCATGTGGAGACACCCCCGCCCCCCGAGTACGCTCAGCACACGTGTGCCCATGACCTAGGGTTAGCTAAAACAGGGGTGTACTGTGGCATCAGGATCCTGCTTGGAAGGCCATCTCTCTGCCTCTGTCTTGCTTGCTCATAGACGACATAAATAAACTTAAAATAAAAAAGAGAAGAAGAAGAAGATGGATGAGAAAACAGTACCGACCTCCAGCCTCTTGTGGGTCTAGAAGCCAGAAGACACTAGAAATAGGTGAAGAACAGAGGTCCATGGGAGCAGGGGATGTGGCCAGGCCCAGTCCCATCACTAGCCCCCAAGTTTGACCTTGGTCACATCTGGTCCATTCAAACTGAATGACAGAATGGCAGTTTGTGGTGAGGTCACCCATCTGACCTGCCCAGCTGTCGGGAAAGTGAGGAGAGGGAACAGCAGCTCTGTATAAAAAATAGAGAAGTCTGCTCCATGTTGTAGCAGGGACAGTGAAGCCTTTCGGGAGACTGTGGGCTCTGGGCTTCTACGGAAGGGAAGCAGGCAGCGTGTGGGAGGCTCAGAGGACTCGAGGCAGCCTGCTGGTTGTCAGCAGATGGAGCTGGGGGCGGAGTGGTCAGAATTGTCACCAGCAGGGACTGCGGTTTCGACACCAGAGCTGGAATGACTAGAAAATGCATGGGAGGTGGCAGCATAAGCTGCAGTTGCTCCCTGGGATCACATTCATTTTGGGATAACCAGATGTTCCAGTCAAGGAATCTCGGGTATGCAGAAGGGGTGGAGGTTCCTGAAGCATCACCCAGGAAGTGTTTCAGAGCCCCCAGACTCCCTGGATCCAAGATCCAGGTGAAAGGCCTTGGGAGTTTTCATGGAAGCAAGGACCCAGTGACAGTTGCCCAGCCAGAAGATGGACCTGGACCTGCAGTGAAGGGCCATTCATCCAGCCTAGTTTATCTCCTCCAGCCCCGCAACACTGTCCTGGGCATGAGGCAGGATGCCACAGTGGCTGTAAACTCCTCTGTGAGATGGAAACCACAATGGAGCCCACTCCATAAGCCACTAAGAGCACTGTATAGGAAAGTCGTCAAAGTGATTAAGACAGTGTCTGCCACCAAAGACATGCTGCACGTACACAAATCAATAAAGTAACAGAAGACCGTCCGTCCTGTCTTTGACACTTCATAACAAGGCCACGCCTTTGCAAACAAGAAAGGTGGCCTGAGAGAAGTTTAACCTACTATTTCTAGCAAAATAATAATAATAATAATAATAATTAGCTATTTTACGTACATATAAGCATACATGTTTCTTTTCTTTTCCCATCAAAACCTAATTCAGGGCAAAATAGAAAAATTGTCCAAGTTCATCATAGAGCTTCCCATCTACCTTAGCCTTCATTTCACTTTAAAGATGAGAGCATCTCTCCTTCCAGCCCCTTCCCCTTCCCCAGAGCTGCCACCCCAGGACTCTCCCCTTTCTGGAGCTTTGCCTCCTCTATTACTTGCAACTTTTCCCAGGATTGCATGGCTTCTCCACTGTGGCTTCCACTTTGCACAGACCCCCTAGGCTTTCTAGACAAGCCTCAAAAGAATTCCAAGTGGCTGAGTGACCATCTGAGCACCATGGCCTGCAGCCCTCCCTCCCCAAAGCAAAGGCAGTGGCTAGAGTGCACGGCGAGAGCCTGTATCTAACTGACAGCAAGGCTCTGAGTGCCAATGGGCAGAAGGCGGCATGGCAGCCAGCTCTTGAGAAATGCGTTTGGGGCAGTTAAGGTCTATTCTAGGGCTGGATCACACCACGAGGCAGGCAGCTCTTTACTTAGCCGGTCTAGCTCAGACGTAGAGAACACCAATCAGGTCAAGTAGCCCCAGTGTGATAGCTTCTCTATAAAGAAAGTCTCAGTGTGTGCTGGACAGTGGGACAGTGGTCTAATGTGACACTCTGTGAGGCTGATCCCCTTGGGAAGATTCTGGGTTTGCATACAGACAGCTACCTCCCTGAACATACCAGGCACATGTGTACACATGATCGGGGCTGGCTATAGGCATCAAGGCCCTTTCAAGGATGGCAACTCTCTGACTCTGACTCCGTCTGTCTCTCTCACTCTTTTCTGGAATAAATACATAAATAAATAAACTTAGAAGAAAAAAAAAAAAAGAAAGAAAGACTATCTGAGAATATAAATTATGGAGTTGGGGACCGGAACCCGTGTGGCCTAAGATTGCTTAGCTAATCTGTTGTGTGGCCATGACATATGTGAGTTGTCTAGTCTCACTGTCATGCAGCTATTTTTATAAACTGATCAACAGTCTTACAAATAAATACTTTTTAGGCAAAGCAAAAACTAAAATCTGAGTTTCTCTCTCTTTTGCCTCTTTCCTTCCTTATATCCATTTATTTGCAAATTCATGAACTTCTACGAAAACAGCACTTCTGCCTTCAATAGGTGCAAAATGTTTATCCAAAGCAACAATTCCAGAATTATAATGTTTGCCAGCCCCTCAGAGTTGGTTTTCTTTTTCTTTTTCTTTTTCTTTTTCTTTTTCTTTTTCTTTTTCTTTTTCTTTTTCTTTTTCTTGGAAAGTGGCAAAATTCTGCCTTTAAAGAAGGAATATTTCAGCCAGCTCACATAAGAGAAATCCAGGAGGGTGAGAGGAAGAAAGAGAAACAGAAAAGCAATCTGGCACAGGGCAGATGTTTTTGGAAGTCCCTGCAATTTTCAAAGGTCTGTGATCTGTTCTGCTGAAAAAGCAGATGGTTATTTTCTCTCACCTCCACTTTTCCTTGGTCTGACCTCGAGGTGGGGAAGGTCAGCTGCCTCTCTGGGGAAGCTGCTGTAGAAGGCATGATGGGGGCAGAGAGCCAACAAGAGTCCAGGGTCATCCCGTATGCCTCCTGCCAGTGATGGAAGCTATCCTGATTAATTCGTGAGGGCTTGGTTAATAGTCCATCTTGCTAACACAGAGGGAGTTCTGTGAAAGTCCCCTTTAACTCAAAAGGAAAATTATGGGGGTTGAAGCCTCACAGGGCTTCAAAGACCAGCATGT